AGGAGCTTGTTTCACAGCAACATGCATTTATATTAAGTGAACTAGAGGCCTGGCGCACGGGATTTGTGCACTGGCTGGGGGAGGGGTCCTTCAGCCTGGCCTGTGCCCTCTTGCAGTTCAGAAGCCCCAGAGGGATGTCTGATTGCCATCTTAGGCCCACTGGGAGCAGGCCTAAGCCAGCAGGTGGTCGTCCCCCGAGGGGGTCCCAGAGTGTGAGAGGGCACAGGCCGGGCTGAGGGGCCCCCCACCCCCGAGTGCACAAATTTTTGTGTACCTGGCCTCTAGTATAAGATAGAAGGATAAAGAGAAAGCTTAAAAGAAAAGGATCACAGGGAATAGCTCTAGATTTACCAAAATCTAACAAAGAGAGTTTGCAGAGGAGAAACAGAGAAGAGGCAGCAGCCAAGAGTTAAAGAATAATATCTACTGATTTCTTAAGACTAAAAATAAAAAGGATGTAAGACTTCAGAATGAAAGGGTTTGCATGTGCTATGCAATATCTATACTAATAAAAGGGTAATATGCTAATTACACCAGGAGACCTTCTGGGAGACTTTCCGGATGTCCTTCCAGACAAAGCCATGGTGGTGGGGCCAAGGCAGAGGCAGTTAGGGGTGATCAGGCCAGGAGTGCAGGGCAGTTGGGGGCGAGCAGGCTGGCAGTGGGGGACAGTTGGGGGCGATCAGGCCATCAGGGGGCGCAGTTGAGTGAGGGGCAACTAGGGCCAGCAGGCAGAGTGGTAGGGGCAACCAGGCAGGCAGGCAGGTGAGTGGTTAGGAGCCAGCACTCCCAGATTGTGAGAGGGATGTCCAACTGCCAGCAGTCAGACATCCCCTGAGGGGTCCCAGATTGGAGAGGGCACAGGCTGGGCTGAGGGACACCCTCCATGCATGAATTTTGTGTACCAGACCACTAATACATATATATATATGGCTAATATGCTAATTGTCCCTCTACCCATCTGACCGGTTGCTATGACACGCACTGACCACCGGGGACAGATGCTCAACACAGGAGCTGCCAGCTGCCATGCCATGCACTGGCCATTTACAGAGAAACGGCAGCACAGACCTGGAGCTGACAAAGCAACACTCGGGACACAGGCCCCCCACCACCCAGAAGCGACAGCCCACCAAATTGCAGCCTAGATTGAATGTTGGTGCAACTTAAAACTCATCAGATTTTGGAGTTCTTTACCATCTACAAGTAAAATAGAAAAATGAAAATCTGCCCCTAATGTGGCGGTGTGATTTCCTGTCAGTAGACATGCTTCTCTGTCTTCTAGGGCAGCTCATGCACTGGGGATGTGAACGAAGTTCAGTCCCCTCCGTGCACCCAGACTCCCGGGAGTCGAGGTGGGAGGGGTTAGCAGTGCTAGAGAGAGAGGAAGGGTCCCAGCAGGGCAGGACCAAGGGCAGAAACGGTCTATCTCTTGCCTATCTCTCTGGTCTGTAATCCCTGGACTTATGCATCCTGTCAGGGACTCTGTGCAGGATGCTAAACAGCAGATAAAGAATGGAAAATGTATCCTATGCTGTATGCATTGGGGACTTTGGAGATGTCTGTTAATATCTAGCCCAATCAGATTCTTTGAACTTTGTCCCAACATTTCAGTTCTTAATGCAAAAATGTGTTGCATTGACTCGGATACTTCATTTGAAGATTTCAGATGTCAGCCTCCAGTTATTGTGTTACTTTTAGTTTTTCTCTCTCTCTCTCTCTCTCTCTCTCTCTCTCTCTCTCGTGTGTG